GGGTGTAGCAGTTATTCATAACATGGTAGCTGAGTGATGAACACTTCCAAATGAAGTCTGTTGGTTCCTACTAAGCGATGCAGATGTTGTTTATCTCTGTAGTCGTGGGCAGGAGACAGTCTTTACCTCCTCAAATAGATTTGTAGGTGCATTCAGAAAAGAATTCTAGGGACCTGTGGAATTTGTCTTACCAACGACTGATCAGGTCTTTGTTCCAGCTTTGGTCTCGGGAACCTAAAGTCTCAGTTTTGTTTGTTTAGGTCCTTGTGTTGCTCTAGCCCTGGGTTGTGCCCTTCTGCACACAGGAGTCAGCCTCATCCTTGTCACCTGGTGCCAGTGACTGTAATTCCAACACATATCTTGTATTCTGTAGTACTCTGAAAGCCCTGGTTATGGCTGAGAATGTATTAGCTTTAATTTTAAAGGTGTAAAGCACCTGCTTATTATGATTATGGAAAAGGTTTGACATAGGCCTGACTGTTCTCTGAATGCTGACAGGCAGGAAGACAAGTAGAACCTCAGAATAATATGTATGTATATCAGTCTCATGATTTCTCAGGGATGACTCGTTTTTTCTTTGCCATTTGGGATTAGAAATAATTTGTCCAGGAAAATGATAGCTTATTTGAATCCATTAAAATGCAGATGACAATATTTCCCATGCTTTCCTTATTTTTTAATCTGCTCTTATTATAAAGTGGAGGTACTTTGGTGAACCCCATGGCAGTACTTTTGTTAAAGTTGGATCGTGGTTCTCCTCTTTATTCTGGTCAGTGTTTGGTTCCTATATGCCATATTCTGTGTCTGTGTTGGAGCAGGCCCATACCCATGTGGTAACCTCTACCACTTTGTAATTTTGCTTTCCATAACATTAACATTTATTGCTCTCTTTACAGCATTCCCTTCACTAAAACACTTAGAAAACCTACTAATGCTAATTACTTGCAAACAGTAAAGGTAATTTTAAATAGCAGCTTCAGTAAATTGCTTTTTATGTGCTGTAAGAAAATGGAAAACTAAGTGTCCATTTTGCTGTTTAGTAAGAATGTTATAGAACAAGTAGTAGTCCTTTTGCTCCTTCCATCTAGTGGGAGCATGAATAAGAAGCTCCCAATATCCACTGAGATAACCCATAGGGTTAACAGGAGTTGAGGAGACAGCCAAAGGCTCAGTAGATGCAGAAATGAAATAGAAATGGAAATGCAAGAGAGATGAAAGATTAAGGTGAAGAGTCTGTGAAAGAGGGTGAAGCATAAGGAAGGTCACACAGGGCAGAGGAAGCCCTATTAAAACTTCAGAAACATCCCTGGATAAAAGACTGGAGTGTTTGGCTGGCTCTTTCCGGTGTTGTGTAGGAATAAGAGTCCAGAACCACTGCATCTGTAACAGTGTTGGGCCAGGGAGAGGAGGGTTCAGGAGATAACTAAAATCAAAGTGATTATACCTTATACTGTAAGGTATAGGCCTGCTTTTTCATGGGGAAAATTTATCAGAAAGAACATCTCACCTTGCATGCACGTGTTACATGTACAATAGAAGAGCTGTGAGCCAGTGATCCATGTAGAGGTCAGTTAGTATCAGTGAGCCAATTATTGCTGCTCCAGAGTTTTGGCATGTAGCATACAGCAAACTGCCTGATAGGAGGATGTTTTTAGGCATCCCAACTGTATGGATGTTGGGAGCTGCTGCTTTTCCACCAAGGCAGCAGCTCCATGACTCTGCCTGCACCACATCAGGGTAGCACCCATAGCAGCAAAGCAGTTCACAGCTGCTAATGGGCCCTTTGCCATGGGTGGGAACCGGTGCCTTGCACACAGGCATGAGGCATCACTTATCACCTGCCTGGAAGTAACTTACCTCAGAGTCCGCAGTGATTTGGCAGGAGTGGAGAGCTGCATGATTTGGTAGAGATTTCCAGAATGGGCCCAAGGCAAAGCAGACTTGGGAGGGGGAAGCTCTGGGTGTGGAAATGGTGATTGGGAAGGAATTGTTACTTGTCCCCGGCTGCTGCTTAGATCTCCTTCCATCCATATCCAAGTGCCCCAAGAGGGGGGAAACTGAAAAAGGATCTCCTTACACAGACCTTTCCCAAAGGATGCTGGCAGGAAAAGTAGCTCTGGATTAGATCCGTTTGTTCTTAACGTAGTCAGTACCTAGTAAGAGCCAAACTCCTGCCTGTCTTAGTAATTTAAGCTTTGCAGAACAGAAGCTGGGTGAGATTTTGACCTTATGCATTACTGCTGCGTAAGTAACCCTCAGAAACACTCTCAGTATGGTTAACTGTTTGTAGCGACCACAGGACTCAGGAATAATTATGTTGTACTTTTGTGTAACAATAAAGCATAGAGTGTGTTCTGCATTGCAAGTTTTGCATTAAAACGTGGCTTAAAACCTTGGGACTAGTTGGCATTTCTGAGAAGAGCTGGTTTAGACAGTCTCATGTCATTCAAATGCAGTTGGTGCACCTTTCTTACATGTTGTATGTAGTCTTGGTTTCAAAAGGTAAAATAGTTTGTATAATGTGATGATAAATATGCCAGAAACAATAACTAGGGACATATGTGTCAAAATAGGTAAGGCAAGTGGCATGTCGCAGCCAGGGCTAATTTAAATAACAACCAAAAAAACCCCTGGTCCATGTTCAGAGTTGACATGTAGAGGAATGTGAGCCTTGGGTAGGTATAAATTGCATGAAAGATATGAATATGTGTAACTGTTGTTTGTGAACAATTTACGCCTAATTCAACTTTCATCCAAGATACCTTTCAGTGCTGTTTGCGCTGTCAGTGGATTGGCTTCTACTCTACTTTTTAAAGAGATTGATTAACCTGTCTCTTTTGATTTTTGAGGTGTTCATATTCGCAGTGCTTTTTAATTCTGTAGCAGCATTTGCTCCAATTTGGACCCTTAATGGAAATCATATCTATGGATATCAGCAAAGAGGTGTTTTATTACATCTTGGTGTTTTTTTAAAGCATGCTTTATAATATATCCCACAGCAAGCTGATGTCTGTTCGTATTGCAATGCCCCATTCGGAGCTCTTCCACAGAATCTTGTTTTGAAGAGTGGAATTCAGCAGTTGACTCCAGGCACAAATAACCATGTAATTACTCTGCAATCACACAGTAATTAGCATGTGCTATTCATATATTGCATAATTATATGCCCTGCGGATTACATAGTAATTATATTTGTACTAAACATATAATTCTATATACTGTATTAAAAAAAACTTTGTGAGTTCATAGTTAAGATTATAGTTGGATGTTAATGTAGTAAAACATATTATGTAGAAGTGTTACAATTTTCTGAGAGGGTTGTATTTTGGATATCTCCTGCATCTGGTGTTGCTTAAACTGTGGGAGGCTGCTATTGAAAGAAATGCTTGGCTCTGTTAAATGCTGCATGTTTATAATTCTGTAATTTATGAAGGTAAGAAGCAAAAAGTTGCAGTTTATTGTGCAAGAAACTGAGATTGGGAAGGACTTGGAGTGTGAATGTTAAATATACAAAGGTGTATGAACCTCCTGAATGTAGCTGAAGCATATTAGTAGAGTCAAAACCAAATCTAGTGCTCCTTATACATTGCGTTATTCCTGGATAGGTAAGACACATGGAGGAGTAGAGGTGTATATATATGTATATGTCTCTATAACGCTGAGTGTGTGCTAGTACCCAAGGCCCATCCTGGACACGGGCAGTTCAAACAAGCGCAGTACCTCAGTGCAGAACATCCCTCAAGCTGCATCTTCTTTTCCTGCCATGGAAAAAGAGAAAAGGTTGATGTCCTGATCTGGGAATGGGCAGCAGCATAGTAGGAGAATGCAGAGGAGTGGCATTGAGTTGTAGAGGGGCCTTGGACAGAGTTTTTAGGAAAAGCTGGAATGTCTAGAAAAACAAGGCTTTAGGTCACTGGAGATGTTTTATGTTTGGCCAATCTCCCTAAGAGGTTTCAGTGCAGTTTTTAGTTATTTGCAGAATGTTTTGTTCTGCTTGCAAATTCTGTAGCAGTGGGAAGTTAATGTATTTTCTTAGACCTGTGATGTTGGCATTCCTAATATCCAAAGCAGCATTATGATTATTCTTAATTGAATTTTGCATTCTAATACCAGTTGCCTTCATTTTCAAGCAAAGCATATATTGGGTTTTAATATCTGGATAAAGTATTGCAAAATTAAATGTGTAATTATAGTCTTAACTTTTATCTGAGTTTAATTTTTTCTGCAACTTCTTGTAGCGGAGACATACTCCTTGTTTTAAAATGCCTTTTTCCAGTTACTTATTAATTCTACATCAGCTTCCTCAAAACTTGTAAACTCATAAAACTTTCAGGGTTCAGGTGGCATTCTATAGATCTCATGTAAGTGTCTTTAACTAAGTGCGGAGCTTACAGGCCTTGTGGGTGGCCTTAGATATCTCGCAGTCATGGGGCTACACCTGCTTTCCTTTCTGCCTGGGTGGGCTGTTCTCATACCTCAAAAGCTATAGTAAGAGGCATGTGGCTTTTACATTCTGCAGGGTACACGAATTACATTTAAATATCGTTACTTGTTGTAGACACTGAATGTCTTTTATACTGGTCAAGGAACGTCAGGGCTGTACAAAACCAGCCAGTATCCCACCTTCTATGCTCCTGTGTGATTGGCTAAACGTATCCCTACCAACTTACCAGTGGTTTTAATAGCTCTTTAGTGAGGCTAAGTCTCACCCTGTTTTCATCCTGCATGTCTGCTACAAAGAAGATGAAGTACAGCCTGCCCGGTGCAATGGTCATTTATTTGCCAGCGTTCTGTTCTTAAAGCATGCCTGTGCTCTTGCTCACTTGTTAAACCATTACCCTAAGAAACATAAGGACTGCTCACAGTTTCTGGCACTGAGAGTTTTACATGTAACAAATATATTAATCAGGATCTCATTGACAGTGAAACAAACAAAAAAGTCATCAAACCACCATATAAATGTGCCGCGTTTCTCACTGCTGTTGTGTTGTTTTTTCTAGTGGAGCCAGTACTTACAAAGGGGAACAATTGCTTGGATGCAGCAAAAGCTTGTAACCTAAATGATACCTGCAAGAGGTTCAGATCTGCTTACATAACCCCCTGCACCAGCAGCACGTCTAATGAAATCTGTAACAAGCGGAAGTGTCATAAGGCCCTCCGGCTATTTTTTGACAAAGTCCCCCCAAAGCACAGCTACGGGATGCTCTTCTGCTCCTGTCGAGACGTAGCCTGTACAGAAAGGAGACGGCAGACTATTGTTCCTGTGTGTTCATATGAGGACAGGGAGAAACCAAACTGCCTGAATTTACAAGAATCCTGCAAGAAGAATTACATCTGCAGGTAAGATAGCACATGGCAGGGGAGTGATTAATGAGGTACCAGAGAGGAACTTTTTGGTACTGCTGGATTTGCCAGGACTAAGGGTCAGAATACCCAGTAGGGAAAAGGATGAGTCAGGGGTAAAAAGCAAACGCCTCTGACATCCTTAGCAGACTAACAAAAGCCTGCATCTAGTTACAGTGTGTGCTTTCTCCAGAACTGTTCACAGTTGCTCCCCCGCTTAACGGAGGAATCTTTAAGCCCCCAGTTTATTTTTTACAGGATTTTTGTTGGAAAGATTTTCTCATTAGGTGTCTCTATGAAATGGTGCCTCGGAATGATTTTTGTGTCCCATTAGTGACCAGGTGACAGAAAAATGATTCATTATAATGGGGTTTATTTGCACTGTAATTGTAAATTATGTTTTAATTTGTGCTGTAATTGTAAATTAGTGTGGGCACTAACAATTGTGAATACAAGCTGCGTTTGGACTTTATAAATGGTCATAATAGCCTACTCGTGGGGTTTTTATTTCATTGGGAAAAAAAGGAGTCCACATTTGTAGACTACATTCCTCTATTTTCACAGAGCTGTTTTGGCCTTGGAATTGTTTTATCTCCCTGCCCTGACAAGAGTGCTGGGCTGATACAACTGGAGGGTCATTGATTCACTGACCCAGTTCCCAGCCTCTTTCCTCTGCATGTTCAGGATGGGGAGGCAGCACAGAGTGCTGCTTCACAGGACAGGCTGGGTCCTTTCACCGCCAGTGAGCTCCTTGCAGGCTGTCACGCAGCACTCGTGCAGTGGCATACAGGACCTCCTCTGCCCTTAGGAAATGCTTTATTCCTCCTTAGCACTGTGTATGTTTATATTAGGATGTTGTTGTGCTAATGTCATATTTATGAAGTTATGCCCAAGAGTCTTGCTCATTTCTAATATGTAAATTCCTTGTAGATCATCCAGTTCTGGGAATTTAGCAAGTAAGGAAATAAACACTATTGTGAAATGTCAAAGACACTGAAGATATGATATAAATCTTAGTACATATTTAAATATGCCTGGTGGAATATTTACTTTAAAGTTTGTTTATGAGATGTCTACTGCTGATCTTAAATATTTAGCTGTAGCACCCCAGATGTGCCCAGGTGTTATTCAGGGGTGAGGAGGTATGGAGTGCCCTACCCTCGATGGCTTAGAGGAAATCTGGAGCCAGTTTCCTGCTGACCCAAATGAAAGCATATTTAAATCAGAGCAGGGATCTCATTTTAGTTGTGTGAGTTGCATTCAACACCTTCATAGCTGATGCTATTGCATTTGTGAAAGCTGGATACATGTGGTCTCGGGTACCTGTTTTCCATTTCCATGCTGTGCCATTAGTCTTTTCGCTTATACATATTGACTTCCCTATACACAGGTCCTGTTAATTAGTAGAGTTGCAGTACTTTTACTGTGTTTTCTGCCAAACTTCCACTGCATTATAGTGCCAATGAAATGGGAGAGAGGATTTTATAGGAAGATTTGCTATTATTCAGGCTGTGTTCAGGAATTACTTGGTTAAATTAATGCCATTACTTGTCTCATGACTGTGTTTTCCTTTGGTCAGCTTTGATCTAATGTTGTCTCAGCAGCTAAGTTTTTAATGGCATTTTGTCTGATTTGACTTTATGAGTCTGGTGTTGTGCTTTCTCCATTGCAACACTGCAGAGGAAAGCCTGGTAAATCTCTGCTCCCACTGTTCTAAGTCACAGCCAGCACTGGGGTGAAAATGGTTTCTTTACAGGTCCGTCCTGTGGCTTCATTTGCTGTAAAATGACTAAATGTTTGGCTCTTCCAAGGGTCAGTGAGACCTGGCTGTGAGGGCAAGGGGCAGCACTGGTATGGGGGAACGGGTGGGCAAATGCCAGTGTGGTCTGGGGCACAGTGAGTGCAGCACCTTCTACAGCTGGAGGTAAAGCAAGCTTGGTGTGTTGCTGAGAGTCATCTCATGTAGGTGTTAATAGCTCCTGGGCTGTCTAAACTGTTAGTATATTTAATACCTTCCCTCTCTCCTGACATGGAGAGGAGGAATCATCAGCAGAGCTTTTGCAGCCTATCCTTAATATGGTGAAAGACGCTTTGACTCTGTGACCTGTGCACTTAAAGGGAGTTGGTGTGATTTGTTGCCCTTGTCCTTCAGGAGAACAGGGTCTTGAGCAGGGGAGGAGAGAAAAGGGAGATCCTCCTCCCTGCTATTGAAAGTGTTGGCACTGATAAATATCAGCCCTCATAGTAATTCCAGAAATGTTAAGAATAATTAAAAGCACTAGTCAGTAGTATTCCAACTCTGATAGCTTCTATTTCATTTTGAAATCAGAAAGAGTATCTAAATGGGAGAATAATTTGAGAATATGTTCTGCCTACTGTGAAACCAAGTCATTTAGAAGCTATTATTTGTGTGCCTATTACATCTATCAAAGCTTCTTCATAATGCAAGTTAAGACAAGGGGGACAAGTTCTTAAGGGTTTCTGGAAGAACACTCGCAAATGGTTTATGAATATTGCTTAGAAATGCAAAGTTTGAATCTGCCCATGCTCTGTATAAAATATCAGCTGGACATGTGCAAACAAGTATTGAAATATTTGGGTTTGGATGCTCTTTAAAAGCTTTGACCTGGATGCATATATCACTGAATCTGTAACACTTAGGAGCAGGGAAGGGATTTGGCCAAACAGCAGATACCACTAACTGAGATGGCAGGACACTTATTTTTACTCTTTCATTATTTACTCTCTAAGTTGTATAACATAAACAGTCAATTGAGGGGAAAAGAGACTAGAAATGTCAGGAAATGCAAATAAGTTCTGGCTTATGTAAACAGTCCTAATTTTTCAGCTTTGTCAGAATACTGAATGGTTCAGTTTCATTATCGTTTTTCTGCTGCCTCGACTTGTATCCCAGTCCATATCCAGCTTTGAAACCAATTGGAGTCTCTCAGGCGTGCCTGTCAATGCTCACTGAGAAGAAAAGCAAAAAAGAACAAAAAGAAGCCATTAGATTAAACTTTTTGTTACGAACATAAAGCTTCTAAGGCAAGTCAATGTACTTTCAAAAACTTTCACCAATTATGTTGACCTGGAGTAACTCAAACCTCTGTGGAACCTCCTGTTCTGATCACTTCAGCCACCAATTAAACTTCAGAAAGTTGACTGGCAGGCTTGCAAAATACATTCAAGGCAATGCACTTCATTTTTGCCACCACCACATTTGACAGTATTTCAGATACTGTTTTCTTTGGGTAATGAAAGTGTGATTCATTAGTTTGGTCTTTTTAATAATCTGTGGTTTGAATTTGCATAAATCTTCTGTCTCCTGGATATCTTTAGAAGGCACTGACCAGAATGATAATGACACAGATATGTTAGTTATTAAAAGAATAGTATCAATCCAGTCACATGCTGCAAAGGTCTGAAAAGAAGGGTAGCATAACATGAGGCATTTTTTGCTAATGTAAGAATCTAGTAACAGCATGTTTCTTGTCCTCCATAATTACTATATTCAAAATGGTTGGTCAAATCATTGAGGCTCATTTTTAATTTAAAATAGCCAGAAAGTACTTCTTGACTAATTCAGCAGATAGGTGCTTGGGCCTTTTTTTTTCCCCCTAAAATAAATATGATTAATGTTTTGCCTTTAGTTCTCTGAAAAACACACATTGCTGGCTATAGCTATTTGATACTGAAAAGAAACCCAGATGAAATGGTTGCATCATACATTTAAATAACTTTTCCTCGTGGAATGTATGAAGGATAATAACAAAATGTCCTGTTAGGTTTCGGTAGATGGGTCATGTCCCTAAAAATACAACGAAGATATTTTCAGCACTGTGTATTCAGAATGCTAAATCTTTATAAATGTGCTTTCACTGGTGTTTTTTAACCTCCAGACTGGACAGGTGACCAGAAACTAGTCAAAATCTTGTTGCAACCGCCCATTCAATGCTGTATGAAAGGTATATGCTTCTACAGATGTAAGAACACTGGGTGAAGATACGCAAACATTTTCATCAGTGCATAAGTGTTCATCCACAGTAAAAGCTAGAACAAAGCCCAGCTGCTTGCTGTGCTTCCTGAAAACATAAGAAACTTGCCAAGAAATTAATTTTCCTTATTTAAATGTTGTTGAACATTTTTAATGATACGTTACCATGGAAAGGGAGTCACTGTAGCTGTGATCCTTTTCCATAAGGCATGTGCTAACCTGCAAGTGCTTTATACCAGTACCTGTTCATAAAAGTGGTTCCCTTTGTAAGATTTCTGGGCTGTTCCTGCAACAAGCACCGTTAGTGGCTGCAAACCCTACACACCCATGGATAAGATTTGCCAGAGTGGAGGGTGGTTCAACACTGTAGGCAAATCTATGAGGAGATGTTATAAATGTGCAGTCAGCCTTTTTTGTCCTGCTGTAGGAGAGGGGGAGCCCAGCATCTTGTGTTAGGAGGGAGCCTTCTTCAGTTACAGCATTAACAGATAGTAGGGAGGAATGCACTAATAGGATGTGTGGAAAAAGGGAAGAAGAACTATGCCCTTTTCCTCAAATTTTCTATTCCTTCTTTTCTGTTTTTCTCACTTCCCCCTTACCTTTTTCTCATGTCTCTTCCCCTTGCTTAGTCTCCTTTCCTTTCCCTTTCCAGATTTCCCCGTCATTATCTGAGTTTCACCACCTCTCTCCTGCATTTGAATTCTCTGTTACAGCCACTTCCAGTACCTCCTCAGCTGCTCCTCTGTGTATGTGCTTTTCCTCCCTCAGTGTTCTGCCACAGTCCAGTGATCATCTGTAATTCAGCAAATGAGAGGGAAAACATAGGTGCTACCTCCCTTTCTGAACCTTGCAGATTATATTGGTTACAATTCACTTGGCCAGCTACTAAGCCTGACTGCTCAGTCTTAGACTGGCTCTAGTTTTATGTGTTATAAAGACACTTAGTAGATATTTTCATCAAGGACATTATACAGTAACATTATACAGTTTTGTATAACAGAGCTGGA